GGACAGTCAGCTGAAGGACTGGAGTCGAGACTTGAAGATGGGTGAGTAGGTGTTGACTGGTGGTAGTGGGAGGGAGCGGGGAGAGCACTGTAGTCCACTCATCCAGACAGTACCGTGCGCATGAAGGTCTGAGGGGCCCAAGAGAGCATGCCACATCCGAAGATCTGAAAGCAGTTTGTGGTGGCGTACAGCACAGCGATTGGTGGCAGAATGGAACTGCCTGAGTTTGACTCCTGCCTCTACCTCCCCATGACCTTGGGCAATTCTCTTAACCTCTATAAGTCTGCTGTGAGGAGTCAATGAGATCATGTCTTAATGGAAAGTGCTTCATAACATTGCTGACACAGTAAACACTGTGTTTGCTTTTGACATGATGATGAAGGTGATGAGCAAGAAACTGGGAGCAAAGAGAGTAGCCAGAGAGGAATATAAAAAGTAAACAGAGACCAGGCAGTGCAAGGGCCTCACAGACCATGCTCAGGAGGAGAGGGTGTTTACAAGGGCGTAGGGGAGACCTGAAAGACTCGCTGTGGGGGGAGAAGGTGCTCGGGTTGGTATTGTAGAATTAGAAGGGTCACTCCGGCTTTAGGGTGGAGTCTAGATTGGTTGTGGTCCAGTCTAGAGGAGGACCAGTTAGTAGGTTATAATAATAAGCTGGCCAAGAAGAGAGGGTGGTTTCGGTGGGGCAGTGCAGTGCAGATGGAGAGGAGAGCTAGATTTTAAGGACATTTCGGAGGTGGAATAAGCGGCACTTGGTACTCGATGTTGTGTGGAAGGACGGGACTGGATCTGAGTGGGAGAATCTTGGTTTCATTTCCTGAGACGTCGAAGGAGAGCGGGTGTTAGCAGGTGGTGAGGGGGGTGGTTTCAGAAGTGGACCAGCTCAGGGTGCTAAGTCCAAGGTTGGGGGAGTGGACGGCTAAAGCAGAAAAGATGAAATACGTGTGGATAATCTTGTCTGACTTGTTTTCTGCTTCAGAAGACCTGTCTGAGATGTGGTGGTTTCAGCAAGGCCTCAGTTTCCTGCCCTCAGCCCTTGTCATTTGGACGGCTGCTGCTTTCATATTTTCGTACATTACTGCCATCATTCTCCACCATGTTGACCCTGCGTTGCCTTATATCAGGTCAGTGAAATGTACCCTATAGGTTATTTCTCATTCATATTTTAACATCGAAGCCAAGAGGTAACGTTAGCATTTTGAAATTCAAATGTTATGTTTGGCTTTACAACGACAAGAGGAACATAACAGGGAAGGATTCTTGGCTCCTTCTATGTGATGGAGAAATGTGGAGACAGAGGGCTGAGATTCATTTGGGACTTGCTTAGTGAATTGTGACACTTCAGTGCCTTGTTCTCCAAATCAGTATTTGACGCTGTCTCAGGAGATAGAATTGGAGTTACTCTCCCCTTAAAAAAAAAAAAATGCTGCAGACAACAATAATAATATTGAAAGATCATAGTAATGACAAACATTTGTTGATCTACTTATGTGCAAGGTAATGTCCTAAGCATTCTTCAGTCTTAAATAATTGGGTCCTTACAGCCACCCTTTGAGGTGGGAACTGCGACCCCCACGTGAGGAAATGGGGTCCAGGAAGATCAAGTTCCTGTCCAGAGGCACAAGACAGTAAATGACGGAACCGAGAATCAATTTCACTGGGCAGTTTGGCTCTGGAGGCCACGCGCTTACTTCTCAGGACATGCTGCCTAGATCTTTCTGGCACATTAAGCAAATATTTTTGAAATTTCAAAATTGCTAATGAAGTACTCAATTTCTTGTATGTCCATAACCCTTCTCTTCAATTATAAAGGTAATGTGTGCTTATCCTAACACATTTTAAACAATACCAGAGTGATTATAAAAACAAAAAGTTGACCTCTCTCTTCTAACCTCCCTTTAGTTCCTGCCTCCACACACGTGATTAATGGGTTTGGTGGATTGCCTTCCAGAGTTTGGCGTGTTTGGTGTTGGAGTTGTTTCATTTATTAATTTGTTTACCTTCTGAAAAACTAACCTTTTAAAGGATGATAAACTGAAAGGCTAAATGTATTTTTTTATAAATAGTATGACCCAAAGAATATCAACAAATTGGGTGCACGTGGGGAAGATTTATAAAACAAAAAGATATTTTTTATTTAAGGTTCCAGTTCTAGGAATCTGATCATCACCAATGTTTACTACTCTGCTAGGGGCACGTGTAGTTTAAGGCAGCGGTCACCAACTGGTGGTCCTCAAGGTCCGAAAGGTTGGGCGACCGCTGGTTTAAGAAGCCAGTTCACACTTTAGTAACTTCAAGAGAAGACACACATAAAAAATTGATGAGGGTCCTTCAGCGTTTTTATGGCTCCTTCGAAAACTTGTCTGCTTTCATTTGAAGGAGCTTTAAGTAAGTTAGAGGCCACGTGAGTTCTTTCTCGGTTTCAGTTCTCTGATGGTCTGGCATGTGATTTTCTGACCCAGAGTCCGCTAGGCACTTCCTCTCCTTTCCCTGCCCTTCTGTCTTTTTCTGCTAACGAACTTCGTATATTGCCCTAGGATCTTTTCCCGACATTATGACATATTTAAACTCAATGGTACTTACTTTTACTTCCCTTAAGCTCCTTTCCTTTCATCTGAAAAATGATTGTTAAACTAGTTCCTTTCTGTTCATAAACCCTAACTAAAAGGCCTAGTTGTTACAGCAGCAAAGGGCATAACCGAAAGTAAAGTTCACCTCAAAGACAGTTTACAAGCTCGTTTCAGGTGCTGTCTAGGTTCGAGTAGTGTAGGCCTAAGTGGGGTCCGTGAGACTAGCCACTGGGGTCCGAGAAGAAACTATTAGAACTTATATGCATATTTTAAAATCTCAAAATCTTTAAGCTGAAATGTAATATATGTGTAATAATAATACATATATTTTGAAGTTACATGGTTACACTTTTTTATGGTGTGTAATCAAAATGGTGTGCAGACCGCTGGGCTGAAGGGCCTGCTGCCGAGGCGATGGGCAGGGCTCTTTTCATTTGGAGGCCAGTGTGTGTCAGCGTGTTGCAGAGCCAGGGAAGGAGCCCGCGCAGCCAGCGGCTTGGACATGGATGCTTTGGGTTACTTTTGGGATAATTCAAAACAAGAGCATCATTTGGAACTCAACTTAAAATTGTGTGTATTTTTTCTGATTATAAGAATAATACGTATACATTATTCTTGAAAACTTGAAAGGTAGAAGGGACAACAGCAACAAAACAACATGATCCCCACTCCCTGATCGTGATCAGAGAGGAACAGAAGCTTTTGTATCTGAAGATGCGTTTTAGAGTAGGAAGGAGCAGGCCTTCCGATTCATATTGGATACTTTACTTTTCATAAACGTAATCCAGATGCTCACCGAGTCTTCCTGATTCCTTACCAGAAATGACTTTCCATTCCTTTTTTTTCTCTTTTTTTAGAATAGTACTTTTTAAAAAATATGTTTTTACTGATTTCAGAGAGGAAGTGAGAGGGAGAGATAGAAATTTCAATGATGAGAAAGAATCATCAGTCGGTTGCCTCTTGCACGCCCCCTGTTGGGGGTTGAGCCCACAACCAGGGCATGTGCCCTGACCTGAAACAAACCCTAACTTCCTGGTTCATGGGTTTGTTAGCCACATGAACCACTGAGCCACACCGGCCGGGCTCCATTCCTTTTTTCTTCCCATTACATTGTCTTAGTTGAGATCTTTATTCTCTTTTCTACGTACTTCAATTTGAGACCAAAGAGTTTGTCTCTTTAATCTTTACAGTAGTTAGAGGGAGGAGAAAGGAAGTAACATTTAATGGGTCTCCTCTGTGCCTGCTACTCTGGTAGATATTTCACATGCACTACCCCACTTTCAGTTCCTCGTGGCCATCCGGTGAGGCAGGGAGGAGGGTAATAGCTCCATTTTGCAGATAGTCTGACTTAGGGAGACAGAAGAACACGCCCACGGTTCCACAGTTAGTACGTGGTGGTAGTTCATCTGGGTCCGTGTACACCACACTGCCCTGACCGACGGGCATTGCAGTGCATGTGGCAGCTGGTGGTGATAGAGGTCTGGACGGAATGCTGTGAGTCAGCATTCTGCTAGCGGATTGGTCATGGACATAGGGAGGTGGGGGCTCAAAACTGGTCTGGAATGGAAGCTCCAGGAAGTCAGTGGCTTTGTCTCTTTTACTTACCACCATATTTCTGTCCCTAAAACGCTGTCTGGCACAGGGTAGGTTCTTGATAAATATTTTTTTGATTAATCATGAAATGATTGGCTGTAAATTGAGTTATAGGCAGAGTCAAGAGCAATAACAACCCAGCCAGTGTGGCTCAGTAGTTGAGTGTTGACCTATGAACCAGGAGGTCAGAGTTTGATTCCCTGTCAGGGCACATGCCCAGGTTGCAGGCTCGTTCCCCAGTAGGGGGCATGCAGGAGGCAGCTGATCAATGATTCTCTCTCATTATTGATGTTTCTATCTCTCTCTCCCTCACCCTTCCATTCTCTGAAATCAATAAGCACATTTTTGTGTTTTTTTTTAAAAAAGAACGTAATAACAAAAGACAGATTTTTTAAAGGATCTGTGATGTTAGAGAATATTCAGAGACAGATGAACATACTGCCTGAGTGATGTAAGTCAGTAACAACATCCTTAACATGCTTTTTCATTAATTTACATTGATTTCTAGTATGTGAAAAAATAATCTAAGTGATATGATAAAAAGTGAACTGGGCAAATATTGTGAGCTCAAATTGTCATGTCCTTATGCAATTTTAAGAGTTGAACCCATAGATTTATGAAAAGATAAAGGACTTGAAGTAACCCCTGTTGTTTCTTATCCCTTAGAAGAAATACACGTGTAAATTCAGTGTTAGAAATCCACACCATTTTTTTCTTTCAGTGACACTGGTACCATCGCTCCAGAAAAGTGCCTGTTTGGGGCAATGTTAAATTTCGCCGCAGTTTTATGTAAGTAATGAGAATGGTCTTAATGATGAAAATTAATAGCCAAATCACCCCTTTCTTCTTTAGACAATATTGTGTTACTTGTTTTACTTTTTAGTTACTATACTTGAGGGAATGTTCTCACTAAATTATTGATCAGAGATATGTTCCTTTTAAAAGAAAAGCAGTTTCTAGAAATGCTAAATTATGGAAATAAATCTTTAAAAAAACGTATAGAGCTATTTGACTACTCATTCAAATACAAGTTGTAAAGTATTACCAAATATTCCTTGAGGCCTTAAGTGGATTTCTTAAGCAACTAGTAGAGGACAAAGAGCTGTCAACACACTGACCACAACTAACACCAACTACATCCCTTCAGGGTAAGTAATTTCGGAGTTTGAGGATAGCATGGTTTGATTTTTGAACGATATTCTAATGCCAAAGGAATGGAGTTCTGCTACAGTATTTTACATTCCTATTAATCACTTGTTTTTTGAACCAAATTGTTATTAATGGTTTGCTAGAGTATTGCTTTTTCCACCAATTGTAACTATTTGCATTCTTTTATAGGAAGTCAGAAATTAAAGTCAAGTAAATGTTTCAGTGTATGACTAAAGTTTTCAAGCACATATCTACAAAAGCATAGCTCTGCTATGTTTTCTGTACTTTCGTGTTCTTTGGCAATGTTTTTGCAAGGGAAAGTTTGATTTAGCCCTTTCTTGACTACTGAGAAAAAAAGGAAAATCTCTGTTTCTGGATAGCAGTGACCTTCGCGAACTCTTTGTTGGCAACTTTATTTCTTGGTTATTTATTACTTGTTTTTTGGATTTTCTCTTTCCCAGGCGTTGCTACCATTTATGTTCGTTATAAGCAAGTTCAGGCTCTGAATCCCGAAGGGAAATATATCTCCAAGTTAAACAAGGCTGGCTTCGTACTTGGATTGCTGAGTTGTTTAGGACTTTCTTTTGTGGCAAATTTCCAGGTTTGTGTTTTAACCCAGCACAGGTATTTCCCTGAGGTACCTGAATGTACGTGTGACCAAGAGCACCTGGAGCACCCAGTTACATGCTGCTGTTGTTTCTTTGCCCTCACAAAATAGAATCCACGGCTTTGGAATTATTTGACCCTTTTAGAAATAGCTACATTTACACTTAGAAAATTTCATTCTCGTTAATCTGTTGACTAAATCGAAATTATTCTGTCATTTTAAGGATCTACAGGACTTGACTTATTAGACTCTTTATTACTATTTAATTGGAGATTACTCCAAGACCAGGGAGAATTGATATACATTATAAGTGAGAATTACATATTTAAACTTTTTTAAAAATATGCCTGACAAGTTATACTCATTTACTTATTTTGTATTCTTATTTAGATGCTTCCATTGATCACCTACATTCCTAGGTACCCAGCCCTTAGGTGAGGAGGTTGAGGAAGGATCTGTAGCTCTTTCAGTGTTTTCTCAGGAATTCTTTTTTTAAAAAAATATATTTTATTGATTTTTTTACAGAGAGGAAGGGAGAGGGATGGAGAGTTAGAAACATCGATGAGAGAGAAACATCGATCAGCTGCCTCCCGCACACCCCCTACTGGGAATGTGCCCGCAACCAAGGTACATGCCCTTGACCGGAATTGAACCCGGGACCCTTGAGTCCGCAGGCCGACGCTCTATCCACTAAGCAAAACGGGTTAGGGCTTCTCAGGAATTCTTAATGTTAAAGTGCCAGTCAGCTGTCACCAAGCATTTGCAAGCTCTCCACGTTTCTTTCTGCCGATGTTCTCTCAGATAAGGCTTTGGTACTACCAGTTGCATCCTGGGCCTGTGGTGCTTTTTGATTAATCTCTCTACAGCCTTTAAAGTTTCCATTTAGACATTTGGTAACCTAGTTAGACATTTAATAACTAGCCAGACATAAAAACACACATTGTAGCTCAGTTGGTAGGAGAGTCATTTCCTACACTGAAAGGTCAATCAGGGCATATACCTCAGTTGCAGGTTCAATCCCCAGTCAGTTGGGGCACATGTGGGAGGCAATCGATAGATACCTCTTTCTCTCGCGCTCTTTCTCAAAGTCAATGAAAATGTCCTCAGGTGTGGATTAAAAAAAACAATACACACATCATACAACTACATGTATTAGAGGCATATTCTGTCTTTCTTATTCAAACTTCTCCATTCCTATAATGCTTCTTATTGGTTTCTGTTATTTTTTTAAAAATATGTTTTTATTGATTCAGAGAGGAAGGGAAAGGGAGAGAGAGATAGAAACATCAATGATGAGAGAAATCATGATTTCTGGGGATTAAGCCCGCAACCCAGGCATATGCCCTGACTGGGAATCAAACCGCAACCTCCTGGTTCATAGGTCAATGCTCAACCACTGAACCACTCCAGTCGGGCTGATTGGTTTCTGTTACTCAGTGTTTTAGTAATGGTTAATACTAGTAACCTCCATAAGTAAAATCCAAGTGGATATTAGAGTAGTGCTTGCTGCTGTAACAAAGCCCAGAATTGCACTATCTCAACACAGAAGGTTATTTCATACATACATGCCTACAGGGTCTGGACAACAGGGACATTAAGAAGGGGAGTGATGCCGAATGAGGCCAAGAGGTTGATAGCAACCTATCATACAATACCTTTGAGTTAATGAAGCAGTTCGGCAGTTTATCAAATTGCTTTCTTTTCTCTTGGTTGTCTTTTTCTTTTTTTTCTTTTGACAGCAAAGGTGGAAATTTACTGAGAAACAAGCACAGACAGACTCCCGTGTGGGCGGGGGAAAGAGTCCCACAGCACAGACTCCCATGTGGGGAGGGGGAAGAGTCCCATGATTGTCTCTTTTCATGCAGCTTTGGACCTGTAGTCCTTGGAGCAGGGGGACAGCCTCATTCCCCTTCCTAATGTCTCCATTGTGCAAACACTGGCCTTTCTTTGTTTCTTAAATAAGACAAGTTTATTAACTCCATGTCATATGTTGTTTCCTCTGTTGGACACACCACGACCCCAAGCTTGAATAGATTGAGGCATCTTTCAGATCTCACTACACACTGCCCTTCTTGGGAAAGTCTTTTCTGTTGAGAGACTTGCTCCTATATATTGATCTGTGTTTTTTAAATTTTATTTTAAAAAATTTTAGTCAATATATTTCTCCATTAATTACAAGTACAATGGTTTTGTTCACCATTGTATATTCAACACCTAACATAGTACTTAGCACAAACAGGCTGTCATTAAATATTTACTAATTAGCTGATTGAGAGAGGCTAAAGGGACTAAGCAGAATGGATAAAAAATTCTGCTATTACTATAGTTAGCAGCATTTAAAGAGACCTAATAATTAAAATAGGGCATTTGAAAAATCTGACTTAAAAATACAAATATAATTTCTTTGAAAGCAAGTATCTATATATCTCTATATATAAAAGCCTAAGCGACCGAACAACTGTTTGACCGGTTGCTATGACGCACAGTGACCACCAGGGGGCAGACACTCAACACAGGAGCTGCCCCCTGGTGGTTAGTGTGCTCCCACAGCGGGAGTGCCGCTCAGCTGACTGACGGGTGCCAGACGCCCAGCTCATGGTTGGCGAGTGCAGCTGCAGTGGCATGAGCCTCTCCCGCTTCCTTGGCAGCTACTGAGCTACTGAGGGGCAGCAGCAGGTGCAACGGGGTCGGGATGAGCAGGAGCAGCACCCGGCCCAGGCTCCGCCTCCTCCCCAGCCACCTGCCACTTTGTGCACTACTACACCCTCGAAGGATGTCGGACTGCCGGTTCCGGGGGGTGTTGGCCTGGCCTGCGGGGATCAGGCCAAAACTGGCAGTCCAATGTCCCCCAAGGGGGTTCCTGGATTGCGAGAGGGCACAGGCCAGGCTGAGGGACCCCACCGGTGCATGGATTCATGTATTGGTCCTCTAGTGTTTAATAATCAACAAAACATATGGTAAGTGTACTCAGTGCCAACTTAAAGGAATTTTTCTCTCTAGGAAGTTTATCCTCAAGGGAACTTAGAAGGGATAAGTAGGCAGAAATCTACATTAATTTCCTAGAGCTACCCCAACAAAACACCACAAACCAGTTTTATATACTTCTCTTCTAATTGGAAATAGAACACGCTCCATTCTTTACTTTTGCTTTTTAATTCACAGGATTTTGTTGATAGGATTGTGTACTGACCACAGTGGGCAGTGATCAGGCTGAGTGTATTTAGCTTCATCAGTATAGTGAGAATATTTTTAAGGGGAAAAATTTATCCATTCTACTGTTCTTAGCCCTAAAATAATTAATTTCATTTTTGCCTACATTTTTCCAGCCTTTAGCCATATGTATAGAATAAATCCACCTAATTATGAACTAAGAAAATATTACCATTTTGTATTACATTCTGTGGGCGCTGAATGTTGTTTTTATCTTTGTTACACAAAGTGGTAATGACAATACATTTTTTTCTCTCCTTAGTGTGCATAACTTATTGCCAATTTTAACACCCAAAACCACACTGAAGTCACCCTTTCTCTCTCCAAAAGGAAACCAATGACTTTGGCAAATAAGTTGTTATATTTTATTTCTTTATTCTAGAAACTTTCTATATCTTCAACCAAGAGCATTGGCCTCTGTGTTTGTGAATTAGCACTTTGATTGGAAAGTGAGGGAACCAAGCCCTGACCTCTCTGTTGTTCCCTCAGTCAGACCCTCTGTGCCACGCGCTGCACCTTCTCAACCAGATGAAACAGCATCTGTTTAGAAAAACAGACTGGCTTAAAGGAGGACTTTTGATTGTAGAATTTTTAGAGAGCTGTTGTCATCACGTTTTAAGCAGAGTGTATTACAGTAAAAGGTAAAATGTAAGTAGATACTGGTAACAAGAATAAGGCAGCCCTGGGTGGTGTGGCTCAGTTGGTTGAGTGTTGTCTCCTGCACCAAAAGGTTGCTGCCAGTTCGGTTCAGTTCCTCGCCAGGACACATGCCTGGGTTGCAGGCTCCATCCTTGGTAGGGGGCATACTCATTTCTAAAGTTTATTATTTGTTGTTTGTGCTGCTTCACTTGAGTGTAAACTGTGAGGGCCAATTTTTGTTATTTTTTCTTTTTTTTACTAATATATCTGAGTACTAAACAGTGCTGACATAGAAGAGGCACCTAAATAAATAAACATATTAAATGGATAAATAATTACTTTCATATTTTTAGTAGTGGCCTGAGATCAAATTTGAATTATTATAATCCACAGGTTTATGCTGAACATTATGAAAGAAAATTGCCTCAGGAAGTAATTTGTACAATCTGCAGGGGTTTTCTACTCTGTGAATGTCCTATTAAAATTGCTCGCTTGTGTTTTAAATACTGTTATTGGCAATATGTGTTCAGTTTCTTTTATTTTATTTCTTCTTTCTGCCTCAGAAAACAACCTTTTTTGCCGTGCATATATGTGGAGCTGTTCTCACCTTTGGTATGGGCTCATTGTATATGTTTGTCCAGACCGCCCTTTCTTACCTAATGCAGCCCAAAATTCATGGCAAACAGATCTTCTGGGTCAGACTGCTGCTGGTCATCTGGTGTGGAGTGAGCGCATTTAGCAGTATCCTTTGCTCTAAAATGTGGCTACACTCGGAAGGGAATTGAATAACAAAATTTAAGTGAACGCTGTTGGCATATTGTAAGCAGTCCTTTTGTGGACAGTGAGATTCTTGGAACAGTAACTCCGAATTCAAGGATTTTAAACATGTAATTCAGTTTTTACATAGGAACCCAGTAACTGAGCTAGGAACAAAGATAATGTGTAAACTAATCATGCTCACTTCAAAGATGTTATGATGAGTTAATTATGTAGCAGAAGCTGGTGATGGAAGTGCTGAGTTACTGACAGAGGCGGTTGACGATGTGAGCCACTTCATAGTGACCCTCTGGGCACATTGAGAAGTTTCCTTCTGCCGTGTACCATGAAGTCTTTAAGAAGATGGGTTTGGACCTTGGAAACAAATATATGCGTGGTCCTCTTGGACCTTTAAAGCAATTTTGGTTTTGAATCTAACTTAAACTTACAGCTCCTCTCTGAGAATCTTCCTTGACCGGCCTTTCTCATAGTGCTGACTTGCTCCTCACTCCTGTACAGTGGCCATTTTGGCTCAGATATAGTACAGAAACTCCACTGGAACCCCGAGGATAAAGTAAGAACGTAGAGTCTTAAAAAACATAGTTTTGTATTAAAGATGAGTATTTTGATAGTGTTTTTCATTTCATCACTAACGATGAGACATTTTCAGTAGCATAATCAGTTATGTATTAAGGTTATTTTCTATATATGAAAGGGTTTATGTGGCATCCTCTGTATTCTCCTGTCACCTGTGGTCTGTGGGCATTTTCAAGATATGAAGGAAATTGTGATGGCAAAGAGTTTTCTCAGAAATGGACTCCTCACGATCAGGATATAGTATACAGTGTACCCAGCTGAGATCTTTTATTATTAGAATACTTGTTTTCTGAATTGAAAACATGTCTTTGCCCATCTTTTGTTGCCTGGAAGTGTATTATTATGGACTCTGCATTTGGATTCAAATATAGTGGATATCTGAGCTTTGATCCTGAGAAAAATGGAGGAGGGACATACTACATAGATAATAAAATGAGTTTATCTGTTTTCACGAACCTCTCAGTGGCATTTTACTTTAAATTATTTATCAAATATCAGTCTTATTAGAACATATTTGTGGAAATGAATGAGTAAAATAATTTGCTAGATTTTCTGAAGTATAATCCATACACTACTTAATGCTTTAAAATAGCACTAAGTTTATCGTGAGCCTTGTTTACTTAAGGGTGTTTTTTGTTTTTTTTTTAATCTTTGGCTTTGGGAAAGGCAGTAAGTTCTTGATTCAAGTAGAAGTTCTCCTGTCTTAGTTATTCAAATGGAACTTTATGTGCTCTAGATAAAACTGTGATGATAGCTAGATCATTTAAGAGGACTTTTCCAATGCCTGCCTTGAATGCTCAAGATACGTAAAAAAAAAAAAAATTGAGGGTTTATAAGTATTACAGGTTTTTTATTTGAGAGAAATTATAGACCATTTGCCCGAAATTTCACAGAATTATTCTTTTTTTTTTCATTGTCACTCAAGGGCTATGTGCTTCACATGATTACTACCGCAGCAGAATGGTCTATGTCATTTTCCTTCTTTGGTTTTTTCCTGACTTATATCCGTGATTTTCAGGTAAGGAAACACAGAATTAGATTTATGTGGTCAAACTTCCTTCAGGTGGGGTACGAGAACTTTCTGAAGGCAAGTCTCTAACCTTTCGAACATTAACTTCATAAGCAGTGATGGCAGAAGAGGAACTTTTCACATGAATCGTTTCTGTGTTTGCAGAAGTAGTGTATTACTAGCAAGATTCAGCTTTGAAATGGGGTTGTAAAGCAATCACATTTGAGAAATTCTTTGACAGAATTTTCATCCACTCTGCTTCCATGTACGTTGGCCATCCTCAACATTTAGTTTTACTGATTCTTCATAGAAATGAAAGAAAAATAAAGATCCAAATAGAGAAACTTGGTTTTCCCAGCTCTCAATACTACCGATATCTTTGGCAATTCAATAGCTGTCTCATTCTTATTACTCATTATAATTGATTTATAGTCCTAATCCCAAAAGATATCCCTCTGAACATATTGAGGATGTGACCTGTCATTAAGGAGCAAACTTCTGTATATATTTTTCCCTTTTTTTGTTCCAGAAAATTTCTTTGCGAGTGGAAACCAATTTACATGGATTAACCCTCTATGACACTGTTCCTTGTCCTATTAACAACGAGCAATCACACCTACTTTCCAGAGATATATGATGAAAAGATGAAACATTTATGCGACGATTATGATTCTCAGGGATTGGGAAAACGTTCATAAGTTACTACTACTGATCTGAAATTTTCCACCAATTAATCAAGGCTGACAGTGACATTGACGGGTCCTGATAACCAAGAATCATGAAGTAAGCCAATTTATAAATTATTTCAAGGGATATATTCAAGTGGATCATGTAAAACCATTTCTGCCTATACTTTTTTTACTCGCAGGAAATAAAACCAAAGGACAATAGCACTAGATTTTTTTTCTACTTTATTGAAGTGAAACACCAGAAGTGCACTGAACCGTCTGCAAAATCCGGCATTTCATGTTTTAGAAATTATTGTAAAGCATGTTTTGTTTGGAGCACTTATGCAAGTCATTTTCCAGGACACCAAGTAATCAGCATTGCTCAGCAGCTCCTTTCAAATTGGGTTTTGCAGTAATAGTTTTACCATATTAATACATTTCTTATAGTCTTTTAAAAAATTTTTTTCTGGAATTCACCAATAAAGGGAAGCAGACCTGAATTCATATACCATCTGTGGTTGGTTTTAGTGGTATTGAATTGATTCCTGCCACAAGGCCAGATATTATGCTAACTGGTCTGTCACACATGGTTATAATAATTTCATGAAACTTGGTCTCTGATAAGAGATTTTAATTAAAACTGAGAGAAGCAGCTATAGTTAAATTTATGCCAATCATGTTTTGCATAAAACGAAGGTTAGTGTTCATTCATGAATCTGAGGACTTTGTGAATAACAGCAGATATCATTAATAGTTACCTTAAACTACAGTCAAGAACTGTTTAGATTTTTCTTTTTAGCAAATTATGATTACTTGTAAAAGTAGCCTTGAGCAGGCAAATATTGAACCTTTTTACTGGGATGTGATGTTTGTAGAAGTCAGATTCTAAAGGACAAAATGAGCAACTTGAAAAAACTAGGTACAAAATAATTGTGATACATACATCTCTCTGGTCATGGCACGTGATTGGATAGCTTGTACCAAAATTGCTACCTATGTAGATAAAGAATGATTTACAGCCCAGCCGGCGTAGCTCAGTGGTTGAGGGTCGACCTATGAACCAGGAGGTCCCAGTTCTAGTCCTGGTTCGATTCCTGGTCAGGGCACATGCACAGGTTGCAGGCTTGATCCTCAGTGTGAGGCGTGCAGGAGGCAGCCAATCAATGATTCTCATCACTGATGTTTCTATCTCTCCTGCTCCCTCTCCCTTCCTCTCTGAAATCAATAAAAATATATTTAAAAGTAAAAAAGAATGATATACAGATTCCAGATAAAATTTAGAAGGAGAAAATGCTCATCGGGAAGATGACCATGACAAACTGATTTGCAAAAGAATCCTTGAAGAAGATGAACAAGCTTTATCTTTTTAGAAGAAATGGGCCCACTGCCAGAATAAAAGATGGTGAGAACAAATTTAAAGTGTCAGAGAAAGCAATTTAAGGGAAAATGGTTATTTGGTGGAAACAGAGCTTGATCATGAGTAAGTTGCTAGAATGGGACTAAATAATATTTCTGAAGACTTTTTGACTAAAAATAAAATACTGTTTATGTATATTAAGCAGCAGTGTAAGGGGGGGGGCATTTCAGTAAACATTGATTGGCATCATGTGAAAAAAATATGGGTACAAAGCATAAAATTTTTTTTATTATATTTCTGCAAATCATAGTGCGACCACACCTGGAATACAGCATCCAGTCCTGATTGTTCTATATCAAGAAAACTATAATTCAGTTATGAAGACCACAGTATGGTGAGGGGGAAATTGATCGAATCAAAGTTAATAAAATTATAAATTATGTGTGGATAAGATGGCACAGGGGAGAATGTGCACTTGTACGTCCATACTGGAATATCAGGCTTAGAGATATACATAACACATTAAATTATTGTAAAATAAAAATATTAGTTTGATGGTGTTTTAATTCTTTAACTTTTACTCTTAGAAAAAATATAGATCCAATTAACTCAGCCTCCACTCTAGGAGTATGAAAAAGGAATGGCAGCCCTTTTCTGGAGATAACATTTATTTTCACACTTACTCTTCTTTTATAAAAAATATCCAGCATAGAGTAAGAAATTAGAAGACATGTAAGGAAGCAGGACAATTTGATCCAGAGAGGAACAGTCAATGAAAGCAAACTCAGAGATTTCCTAGATGTTGCAAATATCAAATGTAGATAACTCTGATAAAAGTGCTGAAGGATCTAATAAAAAGGGTGGAAAACATGCATGAAAAGATGAGGACTTTCAGCAGACTGAGAACTTTGAAAAACACAAGAAAAAGTTCTACAACTGGATATGACAGTTACACATAGAAAAAAGGACCAATAAACTTGAAGACGGCATTTGAAAGTATAAAAACTGATTAACCAATGTCACTCAATAAATTCAATAAGAAAAAATTTAAAAACTGAAATTTGAGGAGAAAAGAATGCAAATTAAAATCCAATATATGAGTTTTGAAGGCAAACTCAAATGGCCTTACATTTTATAATTGAGTTTCAGGAGAGGATAAAGAGAATGGTACAGAAGTAATGTTTGAAGGGATATTGACTGAAAACTTGCAAAATTGATGGTAATCAATGAAGAGAAATTCAAGTGAGATTTTTAAATGATTAAAATTGATGAACACCTAGCAAGACTAGTACATAGGATTAATAGTATTCCACCAAAACTCATGTTCATCCAGAGTCAGCGGTTCTCAACTTGTGGGTCGCGACCATCGTAAAACACATATAGCATATCAGATATTTACATTACGATTCATGACAGCAAAATTACAGTTATGAAGTAGCAACGAAATAACTTTATGATTGGGGGTCACCACAACATGAGGAACTGTATTAAAGGGTAGCGGCATTAGGAAGGTTGAGAACCACTGATAGACATTCAGGATGTGATTGTATTTGGAAATAGAGTATTTGCTGATGGAATTAGTTATGATGAGCTCATACTAGATTAGGATTAGCCTTAAATTCAATGACTGATGTCCTTATAAAAAGACCACATGTGACACAAATAGAGAAGGCAAAGTGAAGACAGGCAGAGATTGGAGAATATATCCTCAAGCTAAAGAATGCCAAAGATTGCCAGCAACCAGAAGCTAGGAAGGAGTCTCTCCAATAGCCTATAGAGGTAGCCTTGATTTTGAATTTCTATCTTACAGAAATGTGAGAATAACTTTGCGTTGTTTCAGGCCACCCAGTTTATGATAATGTATTATGACAGTCTAGGAAACTTAAAAAGCTGATCAAGTAGAAAAGACAAAATACAAGTTACTATTACCAGGAATGAAAAGAGGGACATCATTACTTGGCCTTTTGACATTAAAGATAATAAGAGCATGTTATGGACAACTTTATGCCAATAAATTCAACAATTCAGATCAAACGGACAAATGTCTTTTGAAATATAACGTGAAGTCATTCACAAAGAAAAAGTCTAAAAATAGCTCCATATTACAGTATTAAATTTGTAATCACACACAGGACAGAAGAAAGGAAGGAAGGCTCTTAAGTCCTCATTACCTCACAGGTGAATTCTGTCAAATATTTAAGTTAGAAATTATACCAAGTTCTACACAAATTCTTTCAAGAAATAAAGATGAGAACTTCTCAACTTGTTTTATGAGTCTAGCACAACACCAGTAGCACAACTTGACAAATATATTATGAGAAAAGAAAAAGATTCATGTCCCACATGAACACCAATGCAAAATTACTTAACAAAATAGTAGGAAATAGAGCTTAGCAATGAAAAAATGATATAGTGAAACCAGGTGGAATTTATCTTAGCAATATAATTCAGCTTACCATAAAGGAGGAAAATCAGAACAAAAAAAATTACAAAAGTGAACACTCATGATAAAAACTCCCACCAAACCAGAAACAAAAGAGAATCCCACCACTTTATAATGGGCAACTATAAAAAACTAATCGCTATGTTTAATGGTTTAATATTAAATCCATTTCCCCTCTAATTTTAAAGAAAGGCAAAGATAATCCTTGCCTTCTATTCAATATTGCAATAGAACTAGTCAGTATAATAAAGAGGGGGGGGGAGGAAAAAAATGTGTGTTTACAAAAATCCTATGAAGTTTAAAAACTAATTTTGGGCTAATAAGTGAGCATAAGAAACTTGAAAAAGTAAAGAGACATGACAAAACCAAAGGAACAAAATAATTATCTAATGTCTGACACCCCCCCCCCCCCCCCCCCCCCCCCCCCCACTTCCAAGCAGATCTACCAGTTACCTGTAAAAGAATTAAAAATAATTTTAAAGTGGTACAGGGACTTTTGGGTTAACACAAACAGCTCGATAAACTTAGGAAGTAATACATAAACAAAATGAAGTTCAACGAAGAAATTATTTTTAAAAGAACCAAACAAAAATGCTGAAGCTGAAGAATTCAATGAAAATTACTATAGAGAGCTTCAACAGCAGAGTTAATCAGAAGAAAGTCTACCATATTATGGGATACCATCATGAGAGCAAATCACTCATTATGGGAGTCCCAGGAGAAGATGAAAGAGCAAGATGCAGGATGCTCATTTAACAAAACAATCACTGAAAACTTCCCAAATTGGGTGAGATATTGGCATCCAGATACATGAATTCGAAAGGTCCCCAAACAAAGAGATCTTCAAGATACATTACAAGCAACTCTCAAAAAAATCAAAGATAAAGTTACATAGTTATTGTACTGTTACTGACTGTATTCCCTATGCTGTACTTTGCATTCCTGTGACTGTTTTTATAACTGGCCATTTGCACATCTTAATCCTCCCCCATTTTCATCTATTCCTCTAACTTCCCTACCATCCGGCAACCATCACTTCATTCTCTGCAACCATAAGTGTGTTTATGTTTGGTTTGTTTATTTATTTTGTTTTTTAGATTCCCTATATAAGTGAAATCACATGTTGCAAATGACATGATATTATATATGGAAAACCCTGAACTTCAAGGAACTGCTAGAACTAATCAACAAATTCAGAAAATTATAGGATAAAAATTCAACATTTAAAAATCAGTTACATCAACAAAACAACAAGAAAGCCCACTACATGGGAGAACATATTTGCCAACATTATATCTGATAAGGGCCTAATCTCCAACATTTATAGGGAACTCATACAACTTAACAAAAGGAAGATAAACAATCCAATCAAAAAATGGGCAAAGGACCTAAATAGACACCTTTCAAAAGAGGACATTCAGAAAGCCAAGAGACATATGAAAACATGCTCAAAGTCACTAATCATCCGAGAGATGCAAATCAAAACAACAATGAGGTACCATCTCAAACATTTATACACTACCAATGAGCTATCTAAAGGAGAAATTAAGAAAGTAATACCATGTACAGTAGCTACAAAAAACAATAAAATACAAAATCTGTACATTTAAAACTATAAGATGTTGATGAAAGAAATTGAAGGCATAAATAAATGGAAAGATATATTGTGTTTTTTGATTGGAAGTTTTTATATTGTTAAAATGGCCATACTACCCAAAGAAATGTACAGATTTGGCATTTTTAACAGAAAATTTAATCCTAAAATTGTTATAGAATCACCAAAAACCCTGAAAGCCGAAGCAGTCTTGAGCAATAAACCCAAAGAAACTACATTGAGGCACATTATACTCAAGATGTTAAAAGACATGCAAAGGGAGAATGTTGAAAGCAGCAGGAGGGAAACAACTCATTACATACAAGGATTCTCAATAAGGCTGTTAGCTAATTTTCCAGTCAAACCCTTGAAGTCAGAAGTCAATGGGATGGTGTATTCAAAGTGCTAAAATGAAGGAACAAGAAAAAAAATTCAGAGAAAAATTTTAAAGAAACAAAGATAAGTAATTTGCCTGTTACAGAATTCAAATCTTTAGAATAGAGGGACTCAGAGAAAACATTAACAAAGCGTTAGAAAATGTAATAAATAATCCATGATGAACACAATAACTGAAATGAAGTATACATTAGAAAGAATGAACATTAGATAATACCAAAGAACAGATTAATGATTTTGAAGACAGAATAAGTGGTTTGGAAGTCACCCAATAAGAACAGAAAAATTTAAAAAATTTAAAAATAGGATAGTCTAAGGGACCTCTTTGACAACATCAAGCACTCTAACATTGGTATTATAGGGATTACAGAAAAAAAGAGAAAAAGCCCAGAAGTATTTTGAAGAAATAATGACTGAAAGCTTTCCCAATCCGGGGAAGGAAATGGACATACAGGTCCAGGAACCACAGAGAATTCCAAAGAAGATGAAAGACATATTGTAATTAAAATGGCAAAAGTTAAGGATAGAGACCATCTTGAATCAGTAGGAAAAAAGTCACATACAAGCGAAACCCAATAAGGCTATCAGCTTATTTCTCAGCAGCAACTTTACAGACCAGATAGGAGTGAAAGGAAATATTTAAAGTGCTGAACAAAGGGAACCTACAACCTGAAATACTATATCCAGCAAGGTTATCATTTAGAATTGAAGGAGAAATAAAGAGTTCCTCAGTCAAGCAAAAACGAAAGGAGTTTACCACTACTAAACCAGCTTTACAAAAAATGTTAACTGGACTACTTTATATAGAAAAGGCTATAACTAAAAATAAGAAAATTCCTATAAGAAAAAAATCCCACTGGTAAAGGCAAATACATAATAAACTACCATGAGTCAACCATTTAAAAAACTAATCTGAAGGTTAAAAGACAAAAGTAGCAAGAATAGCTAGAACTACACAAAACAGATACAAAACGTCAAAAACAAAATTGAAGTGTAGAGTAAAAATGTAATGCTTTTAGGATGCATTTGAACTTAAATTCCAATAATTTTAAAATAGATTATAGATATAGATGGATATATATGAACCTCATGGTAACCACAAACCAAAAAATATGAAAAAGA